GGTTCTAGTTGGTGCTTAATAAATATTTAAGTGAATTGAGTGATTGAATGAATGAACAAATACAGGGATGAATCAAAGTGCTCTGTAAAGTGTAAAGTGCTTTGTAAACACAAGGTAATACGAGTATATAATAGATAGTACCATAGATCTCACAATATTTGTTCCAAAATCCTTAGGACAAAAATGGTCAAATAGTTTAAAGAACAAATAAAAATTGTAATTATACATATAGTAAGAAAACCTGTTGTGAAGATTATTAGTTTTCAAGTACATTTGGGAAGAAATAAAACAAAGGCAGAAAACTTTTAAATGGTGAAGATAAATAGTATTGCTAACTTAGATGGACACAGATGTGGGTGATGAAGAGAGAACATGCAAAACCAAAGACCCTGCAATAGCTAGAACTTGAAATCACTGGTTGTTACAAAAACAGCGGTGTTCTTAAGACAGCAACATAACGAGGAAGATGTGTCCAAGTTTCCATAGTACAGGGGTTACAGCAGATAGTCCGTACAGCAAATAAAGTTATCTTTGAGATGAATTATGCCTTCTAAGTTGCTTGGTTGGCCTTAATTGCTGACAAAGAGGTGTAGGCAATGAGAATTGGAACAAAAATGACCAAACAGGAGTTTTAAGTTCAAAACCCAGTTTTGACACTGGGAAAATTATCTCTTTGGGCCTCATTTTTCTTATCTGAAAGTGAAGAGGTTGAATTAGATGACCTCCCGTAATTTGGCATATGGACACTGATGCCAAAAGTGGGAGTGGGGATGGGAAAGTAAAAGCAGAAGCAATCTTTTGGATTTAGTAAAGCACATTTTCATAAAACATCTGGAAAATGCCTGAAGAAATACATAGCAAAAGAACATTTCATAGGAGAAAGAAACCATAGCCATAGGATCTATTTTCCAGTTAGTCTTATTGAATATCCACTTTTTATCATGAAGTAAAACTGTCTTGAACCAGGGCATGGATTCTAGCAAAAATTTTTCTCAAATGGGCAATGGACTCATAGGAGAAAGAAACCATAGCCATAGGATCTATTTTCCAGTTAGTCTTATTGAATATCCATTTTTTATCATGAAGTAAAACTGTCTTGAACCAGGGCATGGATTCTAGCAAAAATTTTTCTCAAATGGGCAATGGATACTAAGGACATTACCAAATTTATACTCCTTCATGAGGAAATAAAAATTTTCCACCAAAAACTGATAAATTACATTAATCGGAGACAACATATTATCTGGATATTATCATAATTTAAAGTAATTTTATTTCTTTTACATAGTCTGCATTTGAAAAGTTTTATGTTTAAAATTAAGTTCCACATATTTTTATATTTTAGTGTCACAGTCCCTTATAATTGTGTCACAGGGATAAAATAAATATAAAAATATTTATGTTTGAGGTATTGACTTCTAAAGAGAAGCCAACTGGTCAGCTCCTGGGTCTCCCTTGCTGTGAAGAGTAAAATGGGAAATCAGAAGAAACTAGAGAAGGTGAATGAATCTATGTAATAAAGAACTGAGCCAGTTGAAGGATGCCCACAGGCAACTTCAGTGTGGAACAGGAGAAATATTTGGGATAGAATGTCATATGGAGGGAAGATTAAGATGGGCAAAAAGGACTTTAAGCAATTTGCTATGAGTTTTAAATTCATTCTCCTTTGGCACTTTCTCAAGACATGTATTGAATTGATTGCCTTTGAATGCTTTTTGGATTGTTGAAGTATTTTTCCTTTAAATGCAAATTTGTGCTGGCACTAGGCCAATAGATGTGCTTTATATGGGTTACATAGACAGACGATCTATGGCAAATGGTCATAGGCAAAAGTTTGTATGTCTGTATATTTATTCAGTATGCATAATAATCTTGCAAGGAAGACAGGACAATAATATCTTTATTTTTCAAAATGGCAGGTCATGGAGGATGAAGTGATTTCCCCCCAACAACAGAGTGGAGATTCAAAGCTGTGGCAGCTGGTTGGTATTCCTTTCATTACTCCATGAGACCCCCATGAAATAAAAAATGCTCTGGTATGTCTAAGAGCTACCAAATCTTCTCTCTTTCCCCCTCCTCCTCTTTTCTTCAAGGACAATTCAAAGGAAACACTTCTACAGCACTGTCAAGTAGAATTTTCTGCAATGATAAAAGTGTTCTGCATTGTCCAATATGGGAACCATGAGCCATGTGTGGCTATTGAGCACTTAAAATGTGCCTAGTGTGACTGAAGGACTGAATTAATAATTTCATTTAATTTTAATTAATTTAAGTTTCAATAGCCAAATCTGGCTAGTGGATATAATATTGGACAGCCCATCTCTATAAGCTACATGTGAGAGATTAACAAATGCTTTCGGTTTCACAGACTAAAATGATAATTGGGGGTCAATTGTACAAACCAACATTATGTTCAGTGCCATCTGGTTGGCTTAAGATATTTTTCTTGACTTTTAATCCCTTTATCTGATCACTGAATATTATTTTTACAGATAATTAAGATAAAATATCTAAATTCCTCTGTAGCACCATTTATCTGATTTCTCTAGAAATTTGTCCCTTTGCTATTTGTAATTTTAAAATTGTTATCGTTGTTCTCTCTTCTCTGTCCATAGTATATTAAGTAATGTACACATACACCCTCTCTAATGCATAACATATGTAAAGCCCAAAGCATTCGTGTCCATACAGAATTTCCAGAAACTGTGTGTATGTTTGCTCTTCCTTTGCAGCAAACGGGCATCAAAAACAAACCAGAAGCATTAAAATAGAATGGAAGTTTTATGAAAGAAAGGGTTTCTGCCAAAATTTCTCCTTACTACTAAAGAATTCATAAACATTAGAAATTTCTCACCACCTTTAACTCTTAGTTTTTTAAAAAAGTTTTCCCAAACTATAGTAGCCTTTTTACTTCCACAAAGTTTTCCCTATGACTTGGTACTTTGGTTCACTGAACAATTCAGAGGATTTTGTGTTTTTGTTTTTACAGAATTATCAACGCTTTTGAATCTAAAAGAGAAGATGAGTTCTGAAGGGTATAAGAATAACATGACTAGTTAAAAGAATTGTGTAAGGAGCTGGATATACATGCAAGATTTACATAACTGCCAATCAATTGCTATTAGAAGCCACATCTACCACAAAAGCTAATGAAAGAAGCATCATCTTATCCTAAAAGGAAGTCGTCTATGTGTTCTTTAAGTATTTGTGGAATACCAGTTGCACCAGTTACATTGGCAAGTCACGTGGTTATTGCTATCTGACCAAACCTACTCCACAAGAATAAGTTGGGATAATACAAATAAACCAAATGTAGCTACTGCAGAGAGATTGTCATCACATCTTTCAATCACCGTACTTTTTCAAATTTTTTTTTGCAATTATTAACTAATGGGTTAGGAAAAGGTTAGCACCCTTGTCAGATGCTTAAAAATATAAAGCAAAATATACGTGATAGAAAACAACACTCGTTTACATCAGACAGTCATGATGATAAAGTATGATACTGTGTTAGTGAACTGATGTCGTCCAATCTAGACATTGTGCACATATACTGAGCTGTTAGTAAAGTGCTGCTTATGGGACATCTCTGCTTTTTGAGACCTGAATCTGCAAATGTTGAACACTGTACCTCACAAGAACCAACAGTTTCTGGGCACAGAATGCAAAAGTTTCATGGGTTGGGATGTTGATGAAATTACACATACAGTACCTGAATTTAAAATTTAGGAGCTCTGTATACATATATTAACTACTTTCCTCCTCAAGCGATGCCTTTCCTTTCTTCATTCATGGGGAATTCTCAAAATCTAGATTGTGATTATAAGACAAAGGACAGCTCCATCTAAAGAGCTGTTTGCATCTGCTCTATGTAGCCAGGGAGGGAAGGGGTTGATCTGAATGAAAAAGTGGATCAAATAGGCAGGAAAATGATGGGCGCTGCAACGAATTGAACCACTTTTGCTAAGTGACATAAAAATATTCTAATATTAAGGACTATTTTACAACTCTATGGAAGTAATGCAGTAATGCATTGTGCATTTGTTTTGTCTTGGTGACAAAATGCACTTTTAATTCACAAGAGCCTGCCTTGTGTTAGTTATAAACAAAAATATATTTATATATATATTTATGTAACTACTATGTGCTTTAAAGAAAATTACTATATGATTCAGCAGGGTTCTTTCATTGCTTTTATCACCAGGGATATGCTGACTTGAATGGCTTTGTAGACAGGAATCAGCAATGACATGGGTCTTTAGTACCAAAATGGCAAAAACAAAAACAAAAACAAAAAAAACCCCAAAACCAAAAACCATAGGTTTAAAATCCCCTAACATTTTTGTTTCAAAAATGATTAAGGAATTCTTCATATTCTTTCCTTTTGTTTCTATCAGCCAAGAGCAACTGCGGCTTCATGGGACTCCCGGTTGGGAAATACAGGCAACACTTTTTAAAATAAATCAGATGTTTCATTCTGAGGCAGTAGAATAGAAAGCCTCACTCTTCATATTCTTTCCTTTTGTTTCTATCAGCCAAGAGCAACTGCGGCTTCATGGGACTCCCAGTTGGGAAATACAGGCAACACTTTTTAAAATAAATCAGATGTTTCATTCTGAGGCAGTAGAATAGAAAGCCTCATCTGCCACTCTCTTTTCTACTCCTTAGCTGAAAGTTTGGAAATTCTGTCACAGCGCCTAGAAAGGGCATTCATTTCCAAAGAAGAGGCAGGCGGAATCTGAACCTCCTGCACAGATAAAAGGTTCATCCTGTCACGTAACGAACTTGTTTGTATTGATGGATCTAAACCAGAAAAACAAAATCCTTTCGCCACACAACTGTTTTGAAAAGATAGAAAAATCTCTTATTTTGTGTTTGTTTTCGCTCCTGCATGAGATGTTTTTCTCAGCAATCATGCTCTTTCGAGTGAAAGGGTTCAGGCTTTGGAACACAGTTATCTCTGAGACATCACAGAAGAACATTTGAACAAAAAGTGTAGATCCCTCATGAACTAAAGCTTTATTATTACTATTTTTCTCGATCCCTTTGCAACCCTGAACCTAAGCCAAAAGCACTGTAATCTTGCCATACTTCTGATAAGTCCACAGAAGATGTTCCAAGTGAACTTTAGATGTCATTCCATTAGGGAATTCTATGTTCAGTGTAAATGGTATCTTGTTTAAGTTTTAGTTTTTCTTTTACCCTTCCTGGGCTGAGCTTGTCCAGAAATCTCGACTCCTTCAGGCCTACAGCAGCTTAGGGTTCCTTTGTGTGTGTGTTTGTTTGTCTTAAAAGTATAGGCAAAATTTTAGTCTTAACACCTGTAAACCAGTACTGGTGCTGCTCTGTCCTAGAAATTTTAGCACTGCTCAGATACAATAAAACCTTCTTTCTCTCCAACAGGTTCCACTTCAGCATAGGCAGGATGTCCAGAACCTCTTCGAAACTTCATTGCAGGCCATCTGCTTGGGCGTCTCTAAAAGAAAAAATACAAAAATAATGAGCATCAGGGTGAGATCCTATCACCAGAAAAATATATTTCCCCAAAGGATTGAGAGCTTCTCAAGACATGATTTAACACATTGTGTGTATTTATGTCTGAAAAATGCCCAAATATAGCTAGGCAAAAATGAATAAATGAACTCTAATAGAAAAAACAAGTTTTCCTTAATATATAGCCACAGATACTTTCTCCTCTCTAGAAGTCAATACTTCATATCACTTCATTTTATTCATTCACTCAAAAATGTAAAGCCATAAAATTCTCCACAGTTCCTAGAAGTATGCTTTCAATTATGTGCAATACTTCTAAGCAAGTAAAGCTGAAAGAAGTATCACCTAATACCTTAAGAAATTATTTATTAAGCTAACCATGCCCATATAATACTTTGTGTGCCTGAAAATTAAAGATGTCATACCCTGAAAATGAAATCCAACATCAAAGGATGTGGACAATGTTGAAGTAAATATTTCACAGTAGACACTAGTCCTAATGTACAGGTAATTTGTACTGATAAAAGGAGAGCCTTTCTCCGTCCATCAAACAAAGCTTCTGTGATTTACAAGTAGACGTGCTGAAATGAATTATTAAGTTACAGCAGCAGAAAGCACTAAAATGCATTTCACAGACACAGTGACACTAGAAACTATTACTTCATTTATCAAAGTGCCTGCAATTTCGGGGTAAATAAGACAATAAATATTGAAAGGAGTTTATTCCTATCTAAAGAATTTTAATGCCAAAAGAAGGCCAGATATCAGTGTACATATTCTAGAATTTGGTATCTTTCTAGATTTGACAGTGACATGCCTGTGTCAATGATTAATAGCCGTGCAAGCTTTTCACGTCAGGTAGGAATGAGTATTAGCTCTACATTTTCACGTCAGGTATGAATGAGTATTAGCTCTACGTTCTAGAAAAATAACAATCAAGGCTATTACATTTTGCCTACCAATCATATTATGTGATGGCTCTGTCACATAATGTGGTCACAATGCCTTACATTTATCAGGTGATTAAGTTACATGAGAGAAGGGAAACTGAATTATCCTGGTTTACCAAAGGAAGTTAAAACTAAAAAGAGGGCAACATAGCAAAAAAATGTCTGTGCTGGGATTGGAAACCATCAGTAGAAAAGTACTATTACAACTCATGGTTACTGCTTTCTGGGAGGGAAAGGTGCCCACACTGCAGTTCTTGCTATTATAACCTTCACTCTGGTTTCAGTGACTTTACAAATGGGCTTCTCCAAAACCAAGGCTGCCTTTGTCAAGCAGCACCACCAAGTCTTTGCTCTAAACCTTTACCTTTCCAGGACCCACCTGGCCTGTGGGTCCCTGCTAGCAAGTACGGCCCTATGAAATTACACTAATTTACAAGCTCAGCACATAAAGACATGGCATTAGATGTGACTCTTCATTAACAAGGAGTTGCAGATGACAAGCATGTCGATGATGCTGTGACTGTTATATTTTATTAAGCTCTTAACTGTATTTCATGCTTTGTATTAGGTGATTCACATACATGATCTCATTTAATGTCTACAACTCAATCACTTACATTTTGCATAAACCTGCAAAGCTAGCAAATGGCAGAGCCGAGATGTAAAATGAAATCTATTTTCAAAATTAATTCTTCCCACTACAAATATTACTTCTTAAAATTCAATGGTTTGCGTGTAACTCACCCAACATATGTGAGCATAGTTCTATTTTTATTTCAGTCTTAAAATTATAACATTATCAACAATTTCAGCATTCTGTTAATAAATCAGAATTAATAAATTAATATTCTGTCTTAGGTGAAAATATTGCAAGATTATTGATAATGGTTATCATATATGAGCACTTTTTGAGCTTATCACAGGTGTCCTCGAAATAGAACGCACAAAAATGTTGGTCAGCTTCCTCTGTTAAGACAACACAAACTTATTTTCTGAATTAATTACATATCCTTAAAAATATTTTTTCTTGATTTTCTTTATTATTCATTGTAGAAAAAAAACATAGAAATACCCCAAGAAGATTTAAAATCACTAGTGATCCCACCAATCACACATAATATAGTTAAACTATCAGTGTACATCACTCATAAACATTTCAGTACTAAAGATGAATAAAAGGGAATAGGTATAATCCAGCTACAAAATTGTTCAAGACTCCAATTTTATTCAGGCACAATTGAAAATTTATACTTAGTTCTACAGTTTTTGATTAGGTTAAAAGAAAGGGCATTTTCCATAATAACTTAAAATTCGGAACAAAATTTAATAAATGTCACGCAACTGGGGTTTTAAAAAATTGGAGTTATTTTTTACATTCTTTTACAATTCCTTGACATCCCAAAGTGTAACAACTTTACCAAAATTTTGCTTTTTTTTCAGAATACTTTCACAAAGCATTGGGCAATGTCGTCCCATATCATAAAACAGTTATGTGATCATGAATAAATCACTTGATTCTCTGGGCCTTCGTTTCCTCATCTGTAAAATGATAGCTAATTTGTCCTCTAAAATCCTAGGGTCTTTATACTTGCTTGCCTGAGATAATTGACTTTAAAGTCAAGGAGAAGATCATAATTAAAAAAACAGCAAAAATAAATCCTTCATGTTGTGACTCTTCTGATCATTGCTCCTCCTGCTTCCCTCCATTAACTTTTAGAATTCCTAAATTTAAGAGAAATCTATATAAATTAGTCCTAACTCAAATTGCTTTTCTGTATCAATCTGTAGTTGTTCAGAGATTTCCTTATAAATGAAGATAATGGGGCAATTCTATGACTTTAACAGAATGACTGAATATTTACTGCTTACAGGAAAGTCCTTAATGTTGAAGCTATAATATAAGCCATCTATCCAGTGGACTGGGAAGGGCACGGACGGAGGGATCCAGAAACCTGGGCCTCATATCTGGCCCTACTACAAATGGGCAAGTGGGATCTACCACAATTCCACATTTTAGAGAAGGGATACATTGTACTTCTGTCTCGAGGCTTAGACATTTCCATCTCTGTGTTCTTTATGAAATGGCTAATTCAAATTGTTACAGAAACTGTTAGAGGTCACAGGGTCACTTGCTAACAGAGAAGGATGTATGCTGAAAATTGAAGAATTCAAGCCAGACCCTAATGCTAATTCATTACAGAGATTCAGGATGTAATGCCTTAAAACATTACTGGGTGTACTGCGTGGGTGACTGCTAATTTCTTTTCTGAGAATTATTTATGAGATTAATCATACTCAGAAGAAAATATTCACCGTGACATGTCAGCACTGGGGGAGGCAGTGAAAGCTGGAATTCTCCCTAATTACTCCTTCAGTACTATTAATTGGACAGTCATCCGAGATCAGTCTCAATGGTCCATGGCAAGATAATTAGCCAAAATATCCACAAACAAACCTGTAGGGTACCCTCAGTGAGCACTGTATACAAACTGCAGCTGGAGACCTCTCTTCCAATTCAGAGCAAAACTGACAGTGCCTTTTGTTGCGTTAGATGAGCCTTGGAAGGAAGACATAGGCACATGTGTGCAAAAAAAGGAACTGAGGATGAAACTCAAGGCCCAGATAAAAGACATCCATGATTCATGGCAGCAGTTGATTAGAAATTTCTAGATTTGATGCTTTCCTCAATGAAAAGTGAGGAAGTGGAAAGAAACTGGGATCATTCCTTAATGTAGGATTTGGGCCAAGTCACAGGTTTTCTTTGTTACTCAGTTTCCTCATCTGGAAAATGAAATGAGCTAGATTATTGTTTTCAACTTCTTTTTTTAAGCCACAGACTCCCCCCATCCCCCACATAAAACCTGACCTGGAAGACCAAACAGAATCACGCACCTTTCATTGTGATGGAAGGCTCCCTGCTTGCATGAACTCCTGATTCCCGAGGGGGGATCTATGAACCCTATACTTTCTTGAAGCATGTTTCTGGAAACCATCAAACTAAATCTGCATTTCTCAAACTTGACTGTGCACACACATCACAAGAGATCGTCTTAAAATGCAGATTCTGGGGGAGGCCTGGGACTCTGCATTTCTAATAAGCTCCCAGGTGAGGCCGACCCTGCAGGTCCACATATGCACTTGGAAGAGCAATAGAAATGATTCTCTAAGGTCTCTTCAAAAGGAACATTCTCCAAAAGTGAGTAGAAGAAAAATATCGAACTTTGACCTTCCTTGTGCCTCTGGCAGGTCTCTGTGGGAACTGACACCATGTTCTTGCTACTGGGTCAACCTTTCAATATTTCGCTTTGATAAAGTAGGACTGCTCAGGAGAAGGGAATTCTTTTCTTCTTTATTCTGCTTTTTTCCTTATTTTGTGTTGAATATTTCTTCAGTCTTAAGTTATAAGTATGTTGCCAGATTTAGAAAATAAACGTATATCACAGCAGTAAAATTTGAATTTCACATAAACCAATCATTTTTTTAAAGCTATATTTCATGGGGCATACTTAGAAAAAATGATTCATTTTTATGTGAAATTTAAATTTATCTGGATGTCCTGTATCTTATTTGGCAACTCTACCCCATGTATAGGGAAACTCAATGGCTTTGCGACCTGGCCGGCCATACTCACAATCTAATTAAAATAAACTACTGTTTGTGGCTGTGTCTCTTTGCTTCATGAATTGCAGGTCACTTTTTCCTTAAAAAGAATAATTACTCAAATTGATCTATTTTCTAGTGTGGCCGAAAAGTCCAAGCAATAACTCCTTTTTTTGTTCTTCCTTTTTTTTTGTCTTTTTTCGTGTAAAAGAATAATTACTCAAATTGATCTATTTTCTAGTGTGGCCGAAAAGTCCAAGCAATAACTTCTTTTTTTGTTCTTCCTTTTTTTTTGTCTTTTTTCGTGTCCGGCAACGGGATCCCAACCCTCGGTGTCGCGCCCGCACCTCGCTCAGCCAGTGAGCGGGAACCGGTCTGTATGTGGGATCCGAACCCTCGGCAGGAGCCAGGCCGGTCCAAGCAATAACTCCTG